AGAGAAAGTGTGTGTACAGATGGGGAACGAGTCATCTCATTTTCCTCTTTGTCTTTTCTTTCTTTCACAGTCTCTTACATGGCATCACAGACATTTGCAGGCTCTTCCATGTGACCTTCCATGTGACTCTCTGTTTATTTTCTTTTTTATATTTTATGTCCAATTTAGATGAAATCGCCTGAAGGTTGGGAAAATTCTATTGCACAGAATGTCAAGAACAATAGTAGTAGACAGGGAAGATTTGGGGGGTGTGTGTGTGGGGGGTGTTTTCTTTGAGTACTAGACAAGTATTGCTGCTTTTGAACTGTCACCTGTCATGGATCCCCAAGCATGTCTTTCAGGGCTCTTGAGACACATCTGAATCGGTGGGCTTTTGCAAGGCTAGTAATAGTAACAGTAACAGTGGGCACTGGGCCGGGTGCATCACATGAATTGTTTTATCTAATCCTGCAGGGAAGGCACTATAAAATATTATGTCCATTTAAAAAATGAGGAAATGCAGGCTTAGAAAGCTTAAGTAATTTGCTCAGATCACATAGCAGGTAAATGGTGTGGCTGAGATTTGAACCTAAGAATTCTAGCTCTTTTCTATTAAGACATGTATTTATGTCCTTGAGAATTAAAATATATTTGTGGTTGTCTCATGATGAAGCATGCGTCTCAGACGTAAAAAATTAAGAAATTTCTGTATCATTTCAAAAGAATACTGACAATTTAGGACCATGGTTGGCTAATGGTTTTCTCTGCAAACAGGACATTTGTCAGTCACCAAAGGGAAATTAAGTCTCTATGTGAGGGAAATAATAGAAATCTGACCTCCCCCTCTTAGGAAAGCTGCCAGGACTCATTACGTAAGGGCTCCATTTCCTCTTCTTGGGGATAACTGCCTAAGGACCTGGGATAAATCCAATTCTATTTTTCAGAGGTTATATTTGACTCTGACATTGGGCCCTTTCTAGATGTCATCCAGTTATTTGAGAAGGAAAATATCCAGCATTTCACCACTTCTTCGGAAATATCTGTTCCTTGCTCAGTTATCGATGTTTTAAACTGTCAGGGAGTGTCCCTAGGTTTTTCCTGTTTTTGTCGTTGGCCTAGGATTCTCAGGCCTGGTGTACCCCAGAGTGAAACGCTGACTTCTAATCTGTAATGTGGCCTTATGGTCTGGGGATAATCTTGTAAATGAGTGGGTGTCTTTCTTTCTTACTGAAAACTGTATTTCTCATTTTAAGGCAGATTGCTAGAGATGGCTTTTCCAATCTGGGTACAAAGGTTATAATCTATCAATTCTACAGGCAGTGGTTTTTGGATGCCCTTAATCGGACATACTTTTAAAAATTGCCTAATGGAATGATTTTTAAAAACGAGAACAAAGGACTACTTTGTACTGTGTGGATTTGTAATTATCCAATAACTTCTGGATAAGTATCACCTAACAGTGTGGGAAGACTCCTTGCTTATTAGTCTAGATTCTGAAAGATTTTGTGTTTGATTTTGGCTTTGTTGGGTGTCTGATTAATCGACTGAAAGAGAGTGGGACATTGGAGAGTCAGCCAGGAAGAGACAAGCCTGCGAATGGGCGTCAGCAAGTGGAGATGACATGAGAAATCTCTCCTTACCCGTAGTAAGTGCACAGAAAAGCCCATAACTAAAACCTGGGGCGGCAGGGACACTCCTAGGACCCTTGATAAATCTTTATGTGCATGTGTCCTCTACAAAAGTATTTCATGAGTCTTTATACCAAATAAATGTTTCCTCAGGGGCACAGGCCAGTTAATTGGAAGTGAGGCCCTTTGTGTGAGTGACCGTCCAGCCCAGCTGTTCCCCACGCAGCACACGGGGCAAAGGTCCGCGCACAGCTGCGGGCTGATGTCACCATCTGGGGCCGGGCCTGCGCGGTGGACTGGGATGGACTGTGTACCCAGAGCAGTGCCGTTCCCGCTCCCCATGTGGCCCAGCCTCTCCCCTCCTCTCCCCTTCCGTCTGCCTGTCTGTCCTGCCTTCACCCCCTCGCAGTGGCTCTTGTTTTCCAGTTCTGATATGAGCATTTGGATGGGCTAGGATCATGCTATTCCTCCCCCCC